CGGGGCAGCACCGCGCCCCCTGGCGGCACAGCCACACACACACACCGGCACGGGGACAGGGACACTGAGGGACACGGACACACACACAGGGACAGAGACACACAGGGACAGGGACACACACACAGGGACACGGACACACACAGGGACAGGGACACAGGGACACGGACACACACACAGGGACAGAGACACACAGGGACACGGACACACACACAGGGACAGAGAGACACACAGGGACACACACACACAGGGACAGAGAGACACACAGGGACAGGGACACAGGGACACGGACACACACACAGGGACAGGGACACACACAGGGACACAGACACACACACAGGGATAGAGAGACACACACACACACACAGGGACAGGGACACAGACACAGGGACAGAGAGACACAGGGACACGGACACACACACAGGGACACGGACACACACACAGGGACAGGGACACACACACAGGGACACGGACACAGGGGCACAGACACACAATACATATGCATACACATGGACATACAGACAGCCAGATACACGGACACAGACACACCATACAGACACACACGTAAATGGACATACACACATATACAGACACGCACGGACATAGACACACACGCACATGCGGGAGATATCACTTGCCAAAGAAGGCCACAATCTGACAGAATATTCACGTAAAACTTAGGGCTGGTGACTGGAAATTGCAGGTTGGGCTTAATTGCATTGATATTGCATGCAGAGTTTGATGACTCAGCTCACCTTTCCCTCTGCTGCAACAGAGTTCATTTTCTTCTGAGGAAAGGAGTCTGCAATGGTGGTGCCTCTGTGTGAAAGTCAGGCACTGGGACTGATTTTTCAGAGGAGGTTAACAGGGACCAGGTACCCAGATTTTACTGAAATTCAGTAGTTGATAGGTTTACAACTCCTTTGGCTTCTCTAAAAATTTAAAATCTAGTAGATGAGATAGGTTTTCTATTGAAACAAACTGCCCAGCAGAACTTGGGCTAACTACAGAGAATTTATTACAGAGTATCACAAAGAAAAGGCATTTAATATATTATCCCTCTAATGGCCAAGTTACCACCTTAGCTTAGCAGCATGGGCTGGAATCTGAGTCCTAACTGTTACACCAGCCTTGGTGAGGCTGAACTGACCTGGGCAGTATTTTGGCAATACCCATTGCACTGGATTTGGAGAGACAATTTAAGAAATTATTCAAATTCATTGTCTGAAAAAAACAGTGATATAAAACACGCCTTATTTTCTCATAAAAATTCAGTTCCCCTCTCTCTACAGTTCTTGTCACAATAATTAATTACAAGTTAAACAAGATGAAACTTCTGAATAAGATCCATTCTGGCAATGTAAGACATGCAGGACAAAAAGACTGAGAAAGCTAAAATATATTGTTTATGTATATATATTAGTTTATACAGTGTTTATATGTACATCTTTGGTATATACATTGTTTATGTATTTTGTTTATTACACTGTGTAATAATGGCAGAACTCAGCTCCAAATCAGTAGTTTTCCTAACAAGATAAAGCTGCAGCTATTCAAAATTTCCATAACAAAAACGAATTGTGACAAAAGAAATTTTCCCTTTGCAGCTCATGCTTAATATTCATATTTCCAAACTGCTACTTATTTCCTAGCATTCTATAATTAATGCTGTTTGTATTCTCAATAACGTGGTTCAGAGAAATACATTTTTTCCTACTAACGTCGGTTATTTCTGACAACCACAACATCACAAAATTGCAAATGTAGGTTTTTGATCAGGCTAGTTTTCCATTCCAACTATGCAGCTTCTTCTAATGAATGCATACTTAAGAGAATGCTTCAAAGGGAAATGATTCAATCTCACATGATCTAAAAGGCTTTACAAAATGACTTTATGCTGCATACTATGTATTTGTCTACTTCAGAATTCAAATTATTTAGGCATGAATTTTAATAAGATTCACAATTGCTGCAGATTAGAATAAAAAATTACCTGTCAGAGAGTGACATTTACAAGCTTTGTAGAACCACTGCTGATGCCCGTACTCCCTTCTCTGGACTGTCTAGACTAGCACCAGTGAGGAAGCAAACAGCAATTCTTTAAACAGCCAAACTCTTCCTAACTTCTGCAACAAAGGAACCCGTAATTTAAAATAAATGAAATGTTAGAAAGGTAGAAAGAGGGTAAGTCTCTTGGAGAAATAGGCAAATTATGGAGCAGAAAACATACTCAGTTTGGCCAGGAGCTATCCAACCAATTCTGCAACTACTCAAAGATTACTAAACTATTTATTTACTCTTCACACGTGAGGAGAGGCAGATTTATAAATGTAGGTTGTGCATGACATCAGACCAAAAGGAGACAGAGCAATGAACATACAACTGAGGTGGACACAGTTCTGAAGCAGCCACACACAGAGCTAGCCAAATCCCCAATGACTAAGTTTTCCTTCTTTCTACATTTGAGAACTAGTAAAAGCTGTAAGTAGTAAATACAATCAGGATTTGTCACACTCCCTGGAGGACATTTGGCTCCTAAAGGCAATAAATGCAGAGATAAGCAGAAGATAAAACTCAGCAATTTGGCTTGCTTTTTACAACTTCACACTTCCTGGATGGGCAATATAGGTGTGTTTTACAACCCCATTCAGAGAAAATAATTTGACTGGAAATTTGTTACCCTACACACCGGCAGGATTAATTTGAGGTTCATTATGCATTATGCTGAAGTGAGATTGTGCAAACACTCTATAAGCTTTGGTGACAATGTGGCAGAGTCACGCTAGGAACTGGGAGCACAACAGCAGCCAGGTGAACTACAAGAAGCACAGGCTTGTTTGTCCTACAGGTCTGTAGCACATGTGCAGAAATTCATCTGCATATGCCTTTGTTGTTACAGAAAAGGGAAGTATCAAAAGCTCAGATTTCAGAAAAATCTACTCAGCATGGAAATTTATTTGACTGAAGACCCAGCAGCAATCTATGAAATTATGAAGTATCTTTACAAGTGTTTTACACTTCTTTAAAAGTACTAAATAAACCAATTCAGATACTTGAAAATGCTATGTACAGTGTATTATATTGCATTTATGCACCTGTAACAACCCATTAATAAAGAAAGCCAGACAAGATCCAGGTGATGAATGATATCTGGATGATTTCCCAAGAGGCTTTTCTAGTAATTAATTCAGTTACTGTTGTAACGACAAGCAAACCTTCCTTCCACTCTCCAATATCTCTCTTGCAAACGGTGAGGAGGGGAAAGAAATCTGCCCATGAGATAAACATAGAGTAACATGCTATTTTACACTCACAACACCACCATCCTTTAAATTTCTAGAGTGAAGCTATTGTTATTGCCTTAATACTTCCAGTGGAAGAGACTTAATATCAGAGTTGGTAATGTTTAGTTATAGCAATTTATTGACAAAAATACACACCTCATCATGTAGCCAGTCTAACAATCCTATGAAAGTGACACACAGAGAGTTACTTTGGCAATGTGTGTCTTGGACACTAAAATAGTCAATTTCAGGTTAAGGGCTTGATTTTTTAAAGTATCTTCTAAGGGAAACTTATATTTATTCTGTCAAAGTGTATGAGATTTCATCTACATTTATGAAGGAAGGAGCTCAGTCATGAAAAACTGATGTAGCAGCAGTGATTGAAAAGAGCAAGTAATCTCTTCTTTACGTGGCTCCTCTTTTGAGATGCTTTGTCTTCAAAATGGTTATAGCATGAAAAAAATAATTGCCATCTTAAGGTCTCTTTTCAAAGTTCTGTGATTGACAACAGGTCATCTAACACACTTTTGACAGTGTTGTCACTCCTTTTGACAGGAGTTCGTTCCATAAATA